ACACTCTTATTTTAATTCTTTGTTGAACTTTAAAACACAAATAAAACTAAACAGATCGTGAAAAAGGGAGGAAGGGGCTCACAAGAAAAAAAGATTATTTAAAAGAGAAAACTGCAGTCCCTGAGTAGGTCATTCAAATGAGATTATCATTAATTGCTTTCAGCTGGCTGACCTTTGGTTATTTCAAATAATTACTATTGTTTGTTTTACTTCGATCTTAAGGAACACTTAAACTGAAAGCAAGTATCAGGAGTTTCAGAGAAGCAGTTCCCAGATATTTTGAACAGGAAATGAGGACTGAATATCATTACAGCGAGTCTTGAATGGCTTCATACTAAACTGTGAGTTAGAAACAGGTGAGCAAACCACAGTTGCTTTCTTCGCAAGACAAATTAACAAATTAACGGCTTGGGTTGATGTAGTTTGCAAATTTTACTCTTAATTGTCTCTATAAATAGAGTTGAGATTACAGACATTGCATATGTCCAATCATCAATGTTGGGTTGGCATCAGTTAGCAACAGGTAAAAATATGAACTGCGAAGAAGTTAAAGATAATTTACCACCTCATACTTCCACACGTTCATATAAAATAAATTTGCCAAAAACAAACCATTAAGAAGACAAAGTTTCCTGATACACTTTAGAGGTATAAAACTATAGTTTCGAAACCTGTAATATCAAAAGTCTGCCGAGTCATGAGAACCAAAAGTAAGCCGTGAGGGGACTCCCCTCACAGCTTATTTTTAAGAAGACAACATTTCCTGATACAATTAAAAAGAATAAAACGTTTAAGCAACGTACAGAAAAATTTACGCAGTGAATAAAACGTTAGGAGGTAGGCTTACCGAAACGAACTGAGAACAGGACACTTCGGATAATGTAGATAGACACCCGACCTTGGCCTTAAATACGATATCCCCCACCACCTCTCACCCAATGTCGGCTGTTCACGGACAGCAAATTGATTTACGGACTGAAAATTGGTTCTTTCTGCATTCGCGCCGCTTGCACTACAAAAGAACCCACTTAAATTTTCATACCCAGTTATTATAAGACGGTAGAAAATAATGCCCATTAATAGGAGAAGGATTCAAGAGTTAATAACAATTATAATCCACACAGAAGCTGTTGAAGAACTCATGGAGCTTTTCAAGGCCGAGAACCTCAACAGGATGAAGGACATCGAAAGCAAAAGCAAAATAAGGGGCTCAAACGAGTTTTCAGAAGCAAAGTTGTGATGAGGAAGATCACTGTAAGGATAAAAACACAGATGAATTATAGCAAAGCCCACGAGAATTACCCCGACAACGAAGGTTTGTAAAGTAGAGGATCACGAAATTATGGACAACGCAATGGCTAGTTACTGGCGGCGGAGTAGGATTACAATCAAAGTACTGCTGATACCTTGGTTTGTAGGGTAAATAAGCAAGACCATGCCATATATCAAGTTTTTCAAGCTCATACTGTTTCTTTTCCGAACGAAAAAGAATACGAGTGAGGAGAGAAGCAAAGGAAACCCAATCAGCTTGCTGAACAATATGCAGTCAGTGTACAGTCGTGAAGCTCATGATTAGAGAAGAATTACGCGAATTATTCAGGCATATCTGTAGACAATTGAATAAAGAAAGAGCTATCAAACCTACTGTAAGCATAAATGTCCAAGCTTAATGAGAAGAGAAACTGAACCTAAATGAAATATTCTTGAGTAAAATATCTTAAAGAACTCCGGGAAAATTCATAAACGAATTTCTACTATTATGGTCAAAAATCAGTTTTGAGGAATGCATAACCTCCGAAAGTCTATTTCTTGAACAAAGTATTTAGCACAACTTGCTTATTAGAATTGATGAACAGCCCTTCTTTTTAAAAGTATGACACGACCATGGTATTGGCGAAGTAAAACATTTCAAAGATGACCAGTACAACTTTCTTACTTTACAAGACTTTAAAAATAAATTTAATATCGTGGTGCAGCCTGTAGTGTACAACGGAATAATTTCCGCGGGACTTACGCAACCTATTTCTTTTTTTTCCTCTTCGTCAAGACATCTTCATGCAGGCATGAAAATAAAGAACCGACATTCAAATAAACTAATAATCGCATTTCTCCGTCGTCAACCTAAGTCAAAACAGACCAGATCAACAATCTGCGGATAATATGCTCGATCCATTTGTCCGTGGGTTGCATGCTGACGTCAGTTTGTTTTGCTTTTTTGTTTTCTACACGAAACGAAAGATGTTTGAAAGTCTTAATGTTACAAAAGAAATGGTTAGCGTGCAGCGTGCAACTATCAAGTTATGAATATACTTGGGTGGTTTTCTTAGCACTGAAGAAGCTATAGGTTGCACCCGGCTATCGCCTCGTGATGCTTTGGTCCGCGAAGCTTCCTTCTGGGTTTCGCATTTGGCCATGTTTCTAGCTCTGTAAGAGTATCGTTTACACGGTGTTCCCTTTATTTGCACATCAAATTGCAAACGGGCGTAACGAGAGCTATTTTGGACGCCTGTCATGATTCCTAAAATTGCAAAAGTGATACGTTAAAAAGGAAGCAAGTGTGCGGAAGTGAATTTGCAGCTCCAGGCGGAGTTCTTTTCAACACTCTTATTTTAATTCTTTGTTGAATTCTAGAAAACTAATAAAGCTAAACAGATCGTGAAAAAGAGGGGCTAGGGGTTCATAAGAAAAAAGATTTTTAAAGGAGAAATTGCAGTCCCTGAGTAGGTCATTCAAGTGAGATTATCATTACTTGCTTTCAGCGGGCTAACACCTGGTTATTTCAGGCAATTACTATTGTTTGTTCTACTTCGATCTTGAGAAACACTTAAACTGAAAGCAGCTATCAGGAGTTTCAGAAGGAGCGTTTCCTAGATATTTCGAACAGGATATGAGGACTGAATATCATTACGGCGAGTCTCTTTTTACCCTGAACTGTGAATAAGAAGCAGGTGAACAGAGCACAGCTGCTTTTTTCGCAGGTTTTATCAAATTAACTGCCTGGGTAGTTTGCAAATTTTACTCTTAATTGCCCCTGTAATTAGAGTTGAAATATACAGACATCGCATACGTCCAATCACCAATGCAGTTTCGAAACCTGTAATAGTTTTCAAATGTCTGCTGAGTCATGAGCACCAAAAATAAGCTGTGCGGGGAATTTTTACAGAGTTGGTTGGCGTCATTTAGCGACCGATATCAATATGAATTGCAAAGAAGTGAAACATAATTTGCAACCTCATGATTTCACTCGTTCATATAAAATAAATTTGCCAACAACAGACCTTTAAGACGACAACGTTTCCTGATACAATTTAGAAGAATAAAACAAAAAACCTTTTAGAAGAAAACGTTTCCTGATACAATTTAGAAGAATAAAACAAAAAACCTTTTAGAAGAAAACGTTTCCTGATACAATTTAGAAGAAAAACTGTAGTTTGGAAACCTGCGATAGTTATCAAATGTCTATCGAGTCATGAGCACCAAAAATAAGCCTTGCTGGGAAATTTGTACGAAGACAACGTTTCCTGATACAATTTCGAAGAATAAAACTGTGAAGTTTTCGAGGCCATCCTGTATCCCGATCAACTTGATAAAAGATAAGTCGCTTAAACAACGTAGACAGAATTTTTCATGGCGAGTAAGGCGTTGATAGGTCAGCTTGTCGAAAGGAACGGAGAATAGGACACTTTGGAGAATGTGGGTAGAGATCCCACCTTGGCCTTACATACGATATCCCCCACCACCCCCTCCCTCCCTTAGTTCCGCATCCCAACGACTCTCCCTGTAATATTTGTTCGTATCGTAAATGATTACTTCCACATTGCAGAGAAAGTTTTAATTCAAGATACCTTAAACTTAGTACAAAACTTAGTTTTAAAGTTTTAATATAGAAACGTGTAGTATATCATTTTCTCTGACACTTGAAAAAAACTTGGTTCAAGATATCGATATATATATCTTACAAGTTAATGCTGAGCTAGAGTAAAGACGAACGCATGAGCTTCAGCCATTAAAGCAGACGATGAGGACAAGCTAAGTGGGACAAGTTTTTTTTTTTTTTTAAGTGGGGGGGGGGGCCGGCCTAATACCTCCCAGTCCCTCCCCCTGCGCGGTCCCTGAAGACGTTAAAAAACGATCTGAGCAGGAAACATGCTCGTTAATTACAGTCACTGAGAGTAAAACGCGCTCCAGAAACAAGAGCAGGTTTCACTGAACAGATTTCCATAGAGCGTAGCTTTCTTGTGTTCTGTTCGGCTGTATCTTCTGTGGCATGGTAGAGATACAGATAAACAACTCTAACATAGCAGTAGCTAAACATTGTTTTTGTACCTACGACTATATGCCACTTAATCAAACTTGAATGAAAATCCATATTCCAAAAACAGAGAAGAGTACCTTTAGTCATTGTTGCATTATGCCTAGACATGTATTTAATCCCTGAACCAACAAATATCCCCCTTGATTTCATATCAAAGGTGCTCGATACAGAAAAACTTCTAATACATAACCAGCGTTCATAAAATAACATTCGACATAAAGTACCTAACGCACTCAAATAGAAAACCTACAGAAACGCCATCTATTTCAAGAGTGATTGCACGAAGCTCTTTGGATACACAATGAATTAGGGAGAAGAACTCTTTCTCTACCTTTACTGACCCGTGTTATGTTGTGATATAGTTTTAACCTCGGGCTGTCTTTTGTTTTCATCGTTTTTTAGACTACTAATCTTTTAGAACCGGAAAAATAACACCGAAAGAGGAAAGAATCTATAACCCCAACATATTATAGAGTTAACAAATACAATTCCCTAAACGACGCCACGGTCTTTTAGGTGCTTTTAGACTGAAAACTGAAACTTGTAACTGCAGTAATGAAACTCTTTGGTTGGAGCCTAAATTAAGTAGTAAGCTTAAGTCACAAGATCTTGAACGATGAGTATCAACTATACCTATGATAGTTAAATACGCCCGACGTTCAGATTGAAAAAAAGAAAATTTTAATTAGTCGATATCGTCGACTTCTGCTACTCCCCAATGTTGGCTGTTCACGGACAGCAAATTGGTTCTTTCTTCATTCACGCCGCTTCTGCCACAAGAGCAGCCATGGGAATCTTCATACCCAGTTATTGTAAGACGGAAGAAAATAACGCCCATTAGTAGGAGAAGAATGCAAGAGTTAATAACAATTACAATCCACACATATGCTGCTGAATAACTCATGGAGCTTTCCATGGCCGAGAACCTCAACAGTATGAAGGACATTGAAAGCACCAGCAAAACAAGGGGCTCAAAAAAGTTTTCAGAAGCAAACTTGTGATGAGGAAGATCGTTATAAGGATGAAAACACAGATGAATTATAGCAAAGCCCACGAGAAGGACCCAGACAGCCAAGGTTTGTAAAGTAGAGGAAGACGAAATTATGGATAACGCAATGGCTAGTAACAGGCGACGGAGTAGCATTACAATCTCAAAGTACTGCTGATACCTTGGTTTGTAAGGTAAATAAGCAGGACCAAGCCACGTGTCAAGTTTTTCACGATCATCTTGGCTCATGCTGTTTCGTTTTCGAAAGAAAAAGAACATGAGCGAGGAGAGAAGCAAAGGAAACCCAATCACGTAGACCACTACGGAGACAAAACCAAGAGCTGATAGTGTTCTGTAAGTAACAGATGTGCATTCTATCCAAGGGGAATTTGGCATGTACAGAACATCACGGTCATTTTGGCATGGGCGTAAGATGGAAAGAGTTTGCTTTACAACTGGAAAGTAGGTGAAACTTAAACAGAAAAAGGCACTTTGACGGCATTTAAAGTGAACATTTTCCATTCGTCCTTCTCGGGGACGAACCTTGTTGTAGCTCAGCATAACTATAAAGTAGACACCCACAAGTGCCAAGCAACCAATTGGAAGAAGGAGAATAAAAGCAAACTTACCAACAGGATTGAAAAGAGAAGGTAAATCGCATGAAAGTGAAGGGAAATACAAATCCCAGTAGCTACTCAAGTAGCTTTGAGCTGCAATGATTTTTGGAGGCCAAACGTTTGAGCTAGAAACCATGAAGTCCAGGGTTTGAATATAAAACACTGCGATGCTGATGAGTGACTTTGTACCTTTCCCTCGACTAGTCATACACAACACGAAAACCACCAGGTTCAATTTGAAAACCCAAGTGGGTAAAAATTCCAAAAGCATAAAGATCAGCATTAAGAGAAAATGTACTGCTGTTACCATGAACCATTTAACAGGTCGCAAGTTGAAATTAAAAAATGACCAAAGCAGAACAAGGAAAGAAATGGTAAAAATAGGAATGAAAAAGTAGTAGTAAGTAAGATCTCCTTTCACACATTGGTAGCACAATCCGCCAATTTTATAAAATCCTTCTTCACAACGAGAGCAGAATCTGTCAGTGTTTCCTGGATGACACATATTGGATTGATCGCATGTCGTGATTAAATTTGGCGATAAACGTTTGGTGTGGGATAAATGCAGGTCGTTGGGTGATGTGTCAAGGCGACAAGTGCAAGAAGCCAGTGGATTACACGCAGCAGGTACTGGACACTTGACGAGATGAGTAACATTCTTAGAATTAGGCGATGGCCAGTAGCCAGGAGCTATACTCATGATGTTTGGGCGGATATCTTTCAAGGTATTGACATCAACTTGTTTGCACGTCCCTCCATCCATACATGATTTGCATAGTCCACTATCTCCGTAAAAATGAGCATCGCAGATACAATACTTGTATTGGTAAAATGTAGGATCTAACCGAATACGTCCATTATTGAACGTAAAGCGCCCTTCGGGACACGTAAAGTGATCTCCTTGATGAGGCCTGATCATTCTTGAAAAGTCTGGCTGAAAGGTATTTGCCGATATGCTTGTTCCTTTCCTCATGAAAGGATTTCCTGAAATATCTAAGTATTGAAGAGCCATGAAATTTTGAGTTCCTCCTGGTAGAGAACCTGATAAGTTATTGGCAGATAGATCAATATATGATAGAACTGAGACATCGCCAAAAAAATCAGGTAATTCCCCATAAAAGTTATTGCCACTTAAATCGAAAGTAGACAATCGTAAGAAGTAGAACAAGTTCGGCAAGACAGGACTTTCTATACCACAGTAGCTTACATTTATGACAGATAAGTCCTCTTTGAAATTAAAAAGCCCCATGAAACTTTGAAAATCAATTGCCAAGCCTCTATTTTCGGCCAACGATAAATAAAGACTAATGCTTCCCTTGTCATCTTTTGGCCATGGCTTGCCTTCATTAATTGACGTAAACCGGTTTTGAGATAGATCTAAAATATCAAGTGGTTTTAAAAGCAGATGGCCTGGAATATCCCCCGTAAGACGATTGTTTGCAAGATTAAGGTTTCGCAGGGCACTGTTGTTCGGAAATATTTCTGGAAGCTTACCGGATATATTATTTCCTGGCAAAAAAAGGCTAACTATGTTTGGTGGAAACTTTCGAGGTAATTCTCCTACCAAATTCACTCCCGATACGTAGACAGACGTCAACGAAGGTATTGCAAATATGTCGGAAAGGTTTCCAGACATCATCCCGGGGGTATTTCGTAAGGTAAGATCATAAAGTTTTGTCAGTTTCGAAATACTTCTGGGTATTTGTCCAGTTATGTTATTCCCGCCAATATCCAGCATCCGAAGCTCCCTCATATTCCCTAAGTCTCTTGGCAACTGTCCAGTGAGGCCTTTTCCGTCCATAGGACTGGCTATAAAGAATTGCAGATTTGTAAGATTGACGATATCCTGAGGGATCTCGCCAGAAACGGAGGAAGTACAGATGACCAAGGTCAGCAATAAACTCATATTTCCAAACAAAAAGTCCCCGAGTCTACCACGAAGGCTAGGGTTACCAGGCACGCACAAAGAAAATAAGTTTCGTATTTTACACAAATTGGAAGGGAGAGAGCCATTCAAGTTGTTAAAGGGCAGCACAATGGACTTGATGTATGAATTGCCGTGACACGTGACTCCATACCAGGAACAGTGCTCTATTGAACTATTCCATCCACTGCTATTATACCATTGCTTGCCATTTGTATATGTGTAAATATCTAGAAGAACTTTTCTTTCTTGCTCATGTGTAAAAGAGGTGTCATAGGTGTAATTTGGAAAGGTTCCGTGATTAAAAATGCGTCGCAAACAGTCTTCTCCTTCGACTCTCAGGAACAATTGCAAGTCTGTTGGAAAAAGATGAAATATTTATGTATTGATGATTTAGCCATTTGAAAAACTAAGGTGTCAGAGATTCTTGGGTACGGGGAAGGGGGCTGGGAGGGGCTGTAAGATTTTGGTGAGGTCACGATGAATATTATCTTGATCCCCCTTAAGGACCTTAAGGACCTTAAGGTTTTGTAATGTTCCCATGATCCCCACTCACTGGCAGTTGAGTGGAAGTTACTCTTTATGGTCCCTCCCTTTACACTCTGTTGACGATGACTGATTCCCTTCTCTTTCCCCTAGAAACTTTTTGTTCCCCCCCCCTAAATTCCCATCCCCCTCCTCACCAGGCAATAAAATTTCTTCCATTTTTTTCTAGCTTAATGCCAGAGTAAAAAACATATTTCGCCACTTTATGACGGACAGAGAGGAGAGCAATTGACAGTCAACATTACAAACCAAATACGTAGGCTCAACCAATGACAGTGGGACCAAGAAGGGACCAAGAAGAGGGAGGAGGACTATTTTATAAAACTTGTCGAACCCACGTGGGATACTGGTTGAGCAATCAGGCTCTTAACTTGTTCTCCCAACAAACCGCGCCGGTTTATCGCATTGAAACCGCCGGGGAAATGTGTCCGGTTAAATAATTGTGTAAGGGACGAGTCTTTACTATCACCAGGGGGAGGGGGATGGAATGAAGACTTTGCATGATCACGTGCCTTTCAGAGAGAACGGAGTAGGGATCAGTACAAGGGGGACTGCGTAGAAAATTTACTGCGAATCAACTGCCAATGAAGGGAGGAACACGACAATATTCAGCTGAGCCTTAAGGGTGTGTCTGTGTGGGAATTTGGAAGCAAGGGAAATCATCTTCCTGGCTCACAGATTATCTGAATTACCGGGCACAGGTTACGGTTGTGAACTTTAATCAGTGGGAAGAGCTAAGGCCCATTTTTGTTTAGTTTGTACAGCTATGACATGCTGGAGGCTGTGACATCAGGGATCTCTACCTGTATGCTGACGATTCTACAGTTTACCGCATCGGATCTGCCGTTAATAAAGCATGTTACCTACTAAGCAACGCGCCTGGCGACCTAAACAAATGGTCCAAGACTATCTCATTAACATCACACTCTTCAAAATGCGAGGTAATGATCCTTCATTGCTCAATGCCCTTCGATTACCATTGGCAACGTTGACGTTGCATGGGTATGTCACGCATGGCTGCTGGTTATTATTAGAGACCGAAAAGTTACTTTGACGAAACATCTTACGAAGATCTCCGCCCAGAAATAATTTTAAAATGGCAAAAGAATAAAGTTAGAAGCTTGGGCACATGGCTATCAATAGATCTCGAAGCCACTGTTCTTTTAAACTAAACTGAAAAATTAGAAACAATCCGAAATATCCAAGTAACTGGAAACATCGCAGACTAACCCTCTTGGGAAAAATCACGGTTTTAAAGTTTTGTCGTCTTACAACTCGTTTACGCGTGGGAAAACCATCTATGAAAATAAACACACTCTTCTCTTCATTTTCTTGGAATGGAAAGGGTGACAAAATTAAACGAAGTGTAATGATCGATGACTATGCGGAAGGTGACCTAAAAATGATTGACCTTTCTGCAAGGCTTTAAAAGCCAAGAAGATCACAAAATACTTAGATACAGCCAATCAAGGCAAGTGGAAACTTTTCTTTGATCTAGAATTAATTAGAGAGGTTTGATTGCAGCTTGCCTTCCTCGGGGAATCTAAATAACAAAACGAATTTCAACTATTATGGTCAAAAATCAATCTTGAGGGATGCATAACCTCCGAAACTCGATTACTACAGCAAGTATTTAGCACAACTTGCTTATTAGAATTGATCAACACCCTTCTTTTTAAAAGTATGACACAACCATTATATTGGAAAAGTAAACATTTCAAAGATGATGAGAATGCCTTTCTTGCTTGACAAGAATTTCAAAATAAATTTAATATCGTGGTACAGCCTTTAGTATACAACGGAATAATTTCCGTGGGACTTACCCAACCAAATTATTTTTTTTTTCCTCTTCGTCAAGACATGTTCATGCAGGCATGAAAATAAAGAACCAACATTCAAATAAACTAATAATCGCATTCGTTCGTCGTCAACTTAAGTCAAAACAGACCAGATCAACAGTCTGTGGATAATATGCTCGATCCATTTGCCTGTGGGTTGCATGCTGACGTCAGTTTGTTTTGCTTTTTTGTTTTTTACACGAAACGAAAGGTGTTTGAAAGTCTCAATGTTATAAAAGAAATGGTTAGCGTGCAGCGTGCAACCATCAAGTTATGAATACACTTGGGAAGTTTTCTTAGCTCTCAAGAAGCGAAAGTTGCACTCGGCTATCGCCTCGTGAGACTCTTAGGCTTCTTCCGTGCTTAGAAACCTTCCGTGTGCATCCATAACTCGATAGTTGTTTAGATTTAATCGGATGACTCAAGTGTTTGCTGCGCCATAACTCTATTCTCTTGTACTCACCATGAGTATCTCGAGGCCACAATGCTTCAGTTTGTCCAACTTGCAGACCAACTATTTGGTAAAAAACGATGCCAAGGAAAATAAACTTGTACCTCCCATACTGAAACGGAAATTTGATGCTTTTGGTCCGCGAAGCTTCCTTCTGGGTTCCGAACTTGGTCATGTTTCTAGCTCTGTAAGAGTATCGTTTACACGGTGTTCCCTTTATTTGCACATCAAATCGCAAACGGGCTAATGAGAGCTCTTTTGGAGGCCTGCCATGATTTCTAAAATAAGAATGCAAGTGATGCGTTAAAAAGGAAGTAGGTGTGCGGAAGTGAATGTACAGCTCTAGGCGGAGTTCTTTTCAATACCCTTATTTTAATTCTTTGTTGAATTCTAGAAAACTAATAAAACTAAACAGATCATGAAAAAGAGAGGAAGGCGTTCATAAGAAAAAAAAGATTTTTTAAAGGAGAAAGTTGCAGTCCCTGAGTAGGTCATTCAAATGAGATTATCATTACTTGCTTGCAGCTGGCTAACCCTTGGTTATTTCAGGTAATTACTATTGTTTGTTCTACTTCCGTCTTGAGAAACACTTAAGAGTAAGTGTCAATAAAAATCACAGATTATCGAAAAAGTCGCGGACACGGTCAAAAATCGATTTGGTTTATTTTTGCCTGTGGGTAGCCTTTTCTAGTAAACAAACGGAAATGGGGTTAGATTTTTGAAAGATGCACTTTAACGGGAATAATTTGTTTTAACATTTCCGGGGGTAAAAAGCTCAAATTTCACCAAGCGCGATCCTGAAATTATGCACTTTTCGGGCACTTGTCATGCTAACAAAAATGTAACGGAAGGACTTTTCTAGTTATAGATTTATTGAGTTGGACTTGCATTATCGAGACAAAGTGATAGTTTTTGTCTCATGTTATTCTTGGAGGAGCTACGTCCCTATTAAGAAACGACATCTTCGGCCTTTTGAAATTAAGGCAAAGGTGGCCTAGAATAGCTTGGCAAAAATACATGTGGTAGTGTCTCAAAAATTACAATAACACTACCAAGAAGCCTTGAAAGATATTTCTTTACGATTTGGGTTTTATTTCTTTGGGACCTTTGACCATCAAAAGATGACCACCAGCCGAAATTAAATTACCATGACGCCATAACGCGATGCATAATAACAAAATTAAACGTGTCAGACATAAATAACTGTTTTGGTCAGTTATATCTTCACTGGCCGTTAAAATGACTGGAAACATATCATAATGTCTATAACTACACTTGATTTTTATATACGGAGACAGGAGAAACAATTCTCGACTTTTGCTACCCTGAGAATCATGCCATAATTCTGCCTAATTCTACACACAACAGGTTAAATAGTTGAATTGCACTCAACAGGTTAACTTTGCCACAAAGCCGTTAGTTTACGTTTACTTCGAATCCGGTGAACATGGATACGAGTATTTGCATCCCTTCTACGCCTTCTGCACTTGCCAGTTTCGAATATACTGAAAATCGTCCAACACAAAGACAAGGAGGTTTCACAAGCAGTGGTGAGCTCGTGTTACTGAAATCTGATATGTAGGACTCTGCTGTCAAGCAACGCCTTCATGTAAATAATACACGCACCGCTTTTATAATCAGCAGATCAGGTATTCGTAAAATGTTCAGTGCTCAGTTACTTGGAAGAGCATGTAAACTCCTGGACTAATTGTGTGAGTCGTGCGATGAATGGCTTTTTCCTCTTCTGAGGTGAAATGTCAGAAATATCCAGCCCAAGGTCGATGCACATGTCTCTTAGCCTATCCACTCTTAAAGTTGAGAGTGTACGTTTTTTATACAAGTTCGCAGATGTTTAGATCGAAAGATACAATCGGATGTTATATAGCCACATCTCTCGTCACATTTGCACACACTGCAGATAGATAACTCTCAGCTTCGGCGGAAAATTCGTCCTTGTCGACGCTCTCCATGTCCACTTCTGAGACTTCACTAGCTTTTGCTTGGTTACAGGCGGCTGTAACTTCTAATCGCGTCTTTGCTGAAAGACGGCTGAAGAAGCCACTAATCTGCTGCGACGTAAGGACTTCATCAGGTTGAAATCGGCGTCCCCCCGCTTGGTCTCTTGCTAGGCTTATGGTTTTCGAAACTTCCTGTGGATCGCTTTTCCGTCCACTGTACTCCCCTTTTTGAAATTGGTCAGTTAAGAATTGGGTTTGTTTCCCTGTAAAACGCACCTTTTTCTTAATTGTCTTCAGGGCCCAACCCATTGGAAGAGGCGGTAAGCCGTCACTCTTTGATTGTGCAGCAACTTGAACGCTCGGTAGTCGACTGCGTCCCTCCATCAGCTTGGAAGAATATTCTCTTTTAGCTTTATCGTAGCGAGTTTCCTGTTCGAGCATCATTTGGTGTTTTCCAGTATCTGGGTGTGTCTGGAGGTTTGCAAAGCGACTGTAGGCTTTTACACATCCTTCTTCTAGACACGGGAAAAGCATGTCAGCTGGCTTATATTCCCCAATACAGCTTCGATCTTGGTTTGGCTTTCAGTTGAGAAATTTGCTTTAACAGAGCTTTCCTTTATATGTCGGTGTCTCACAATCTTGAACACTTTTTCGGGCTATTTCATGACTCCTTCGAACTTGGCCCATGGCACCACTTTACCAGAATCCACAGTGAATGCTCTCCACACTCGTGCGCCACTTTCATCGTACTCAAAATTGTTGAGTAAGCTTATGCCATCACATTTGATATTAAACTGAGGTGCTTGACGGTTTGGCAGCAACATGACTTGCTTTCACTCCTGTGGTTTCTTGGCCAGATTTAATGGCTGTTTTGAACTGTAGTGTTGATGACATCATTACCTTCGTTTACGTACCTACCAACGTAGCTTCCCTTGATTGTTGCCGCTTTGCGATCACATACCCCCTTTCCACCTAGAGGGTCCGAAAAGTCGTTTCTTACAACAGCCACTCCGATGGCATCACCGGCCAGCTTAGCTGAGATGATTGAATTTCCGCTGTGATAACAGCCAGTGTTATCTTGTTTGTAATAAGCCATTTCCAGCTCTGGAATTTCCTTTTTCAGGGTAGTGAGGCAGTCAAGCATTATCGAAGCCACAGTCACACTGTCTTGGACGGAGCTTTGAAATACGTGAACAGGTGTCTGCGATTCACCTCGCTTCGCATACCAATCTGACTGTGCCTCTCGATATTTTCGGGGGAATATATTTCATTGTCCAGTCCTGGACTAACAACACCGATCGGCTGTCGAGTTTGGCTAAAACTGAATGCTTCGCCTCAGTTTGGTGGACTGAACGTAGCTGATGGGCTTTCCAGCTAATGATATCATCCCTTGCCTGTTTGATTATATGCTGCATGTCAGCTTGATCTTCTGCTGACGAAAGCGCACTTGAACACTCATCTTCTACAGTACACAATACTTCCTGTTATTCAAAACACTGCTCATATGACTAGGAGCCCCGAAATTCAGCATTGCTTGGGTCACTTAGCGCGTAAATTCGATAATGATCGGGAACCTTTGAGGCCTCCTCTGCATGTACCTAAAATAAAAAGTAAAATGACAAGCGCGTGATTCAGTGTATATCTGCAAAGCATTGCATGCGCATCTGATCGACATTTCAAAAGGATTACTGAACCGATTCTCAGCGTTGTATGCATGTGTGTAAGCGTATTACTGTAAATTGTGAACTGTTGTTTCATAAATTAAGCATAAAGAAGACTTGGAGGGAAAGAAAGAGGTAGCCGTGAATCACAGTAAGAAGTTTACTGCATCACTTTTGCGAAGGCAACGCATAATTATAAAATATGCACCCACCTTGTAGTCGCCCTTTAGGTACTGCTTCGAAAAACGAAATTGCTGCTTAATT